GACAGTGTGAGGAGGTAAATTTGACTCACCCCAACCCCAACACCCAGGCAGGAACACAAAAATATGCTCAAGAGTCAAAGCTCAAATTCTAAGCAGAACTCCTCACTTCTCATCCTGCCAGGGCCAGCTGTTTGCCAAGAATTCTCCTTTTACTTTATCCTGATAGACATCTTGATGATTTCCATGATAATGACTCATGACAGCCCAAAGATCAAAAGGAAGAAAAGTAGGCTGGAATCAGGGGGAGGAAGAGGAGGAAGAAATAGAGTGTAACAGAGAGAGTGGCTCCAAAAATACATTCTTCCAAAAGACAGCAAGAATAACACCTGAAAGCAAATCACAAGACTCTGATAAAAACTCTCATACTGGTGATGGACATGGGTGGCTTTTACTGCGCCTTAATATTTTACCTTGGAGAAGTTAAGCAGAGAAAATGAAACAGAAATCTATGGAAAGAAGGTTTAGGAAATATTCAGGAGTGGCAACAAAGGATTCAAAGATACTTGTTAAACTGCCATGCATATGTTAAGACCTTATAAAAATTACTTTCCCATTCACACATCTATCTACTCACTTGTTCATTTGTTCAGCAGCATGTAAGGTACCAGGACTGGGCTTAGTGTTGTGATATTCAAATGAATAGGACATAGTCTATAACTTTAAGGAGCTTACCTTCTTTGATATTTTGGTTTGGTTTGGTTTTGAAAAGGGGACTAGCTGTGTTGCCCAGGTTGGTCTCAAAGTGAAAGGCTCGAATGATCCTTCTCCATCTGCCTCCCTAGTAGCTGGAACTATAGGTGTACAAAACCACACCCAGCTAGATACTAATAGGTGAAAGCCTTCACAGAGGACATGTATCTCAACTAGATCCCAAAGGATGCATGAGAATTCACGAGATGAAGAAGTGAGTGATTACAGAAGAGAAAACACAGATAAAACCATAGTGAGAACTAGAGTTTTCTGAGAGAGGGATGAAACACATTCCAGGTGACCATAATAAACAGAAGCATGGTACATGTTTCTTAAAACTAAAAGTTCATAAGGGATTCACAATAGCAGGAAACAGTGCTATTAAAAATGGACAAAGGTTTCTGAATTGCCACTTCACTAAAGACGACAAGCAAATTGCTAACAGGTATATAAATGGATAAAGTAGATAGATAGATAGATAGATAGATAGATAGATAGATAATCACTCAACATATTATTACTATAAAACAAAGTTGTATACACAGTATATCTAATGAATCAACAAACAAGAAAAAACGTGACATATACACAGTGGAGTACTATTCAGTCTCTGGAAGGGAGGAGACACTGTTATTTGTGGGTAAGCCTGGAGAACATCACGTTAAGTGAAAAAAGCCAGGCATAAAATTACAAGCAACATATGATCTCACTGAATGTGGAACCTACACTAGTGAAATCCATAAAAGCAGAGAATGGGACTTACTAGCAAGCTGGGCGCAGCATGTGAAACATTGTCAAAGGACACGCAATTCCAGTTAGGAGTAAGTTTAGAGATCAATTATGCAATGTAATAACTACAGAAGCATTACTTAGGCCTTGTTGTGGTCCACGAAGTTTGTACTTATAATCCTATCAAAAAGTTATTGGAATTCCTATAAATTAATTCCAATCTACCACTTCCAGTGCCACCCATGGTGAGAATAAAAACAGTAGGGCATATTTGTAGTTGTGGGGAGCCAAGGGGGTCCTAAGTTCAGCTAGTATGGTGGCTAACTGGAACAAAGACCTCTGCCTCAGGCCAAACCAGGTTTTATAAATTCATGAAGTGGGGAGTGGCTTGGGGATGAGTGACTGAGAGCGGAGGAAAGTACTGGAAGTACGTGAGTGCTGTGAGCCGGGCTAGACAGGTGGCCCCAAACCACCTCTGCCACATGCAGAGACAAGGACATACAGAAAGAGTGCTCTGCATAACACAGTTCAAGGTTTTGGGGTCCGTGTGTCAGTTCTGATGAGGAATCTTCTATAACCTGGGAAGTCTCTTATCTCAAGGCTCTGACCCAGCCGACAATGTGCAGCCTGGCTCTCCCTCCCACATGCCTCTGGGAGCCACAGGATGGGACGCAGCAACACTGATTTGTCACCTTGTCTCAAAGACTACACAGCAAGCCCTCAGTCAGAATGCTGTGCACTGCTTAAAGTCAATTGAGGGGATAAAGACAAAGACTAGCCAACTCTGCACTATCCATACCCAGAAATAGGGCCAGGGTTAGTAAAAACTGAGACAACTGCATTCCTTTCAAGGAGAATCGTCTAGGTGGCTCTTGACAATGACTATACAGTAGTTTTACAATATCTTTTTAGGTACAGTTTCTTAGATCATACCTAAGATTTTAATTTTGTTGTTAAGGGAGAGGACTGAAGAAATCATGTTTTTGAGTAGAAAGCTCAAGTGAATTTTGCTATGCAGTTCAGACTCATAGTAATCCTCCTGGCTCAGCCTCCCTAGTGCTGTAATCATAGGTATGTGCCACTGCACCTGGTTTCAGGGCTGGCATGGCACACTCGGGGCCAGCACAGCATGCAGTACTGGGGACTGAACGTGGGTCCTTGTGCTTGCCAGGCTTTCTACACAGTCCACTCAAGTGATTTTTGATATATACAAAAGTTTGGCAGCTGTGATTTGTATAGCTTAACTTTTCCCAAAAGATGCTAATGGTGCTTCATTTAAAAAACAAACAAAACAAAACAAAAGATACCAGATCAAATCAGGAAACATCATACAGTAATGTACTTGCTTCTTGGAAATTCACTGACATATGTCAAATCCTCTGGTAAAGAAATCAGTTACACTCAGCAGCTCCCAAAGGAATTTTTCCATTGGGAGGAAAATCACATTGTGATTTCTCAGAATATTGACTACTACTGTGGTGTGGAGCATAGATAGGGCAGAGGTGAGAGGGGGGATTCAGTCATTCTACCAACCCCATCATGCTGACTGACTTAAGAACAGTCTAGAAAAAAGAAAGCTGAATCAGTTATCTGGGGACCACGAAGGCAGCTGCTGGTTTCCTCCATGCAAAGGCTAAAGCCACCTATGCAGCCCTGTTTTCCACGCAGACAGCTGGAAGCTGCACAGCTCTCCACTGACACACGTAGCTCTCTGCTAAGATTTTCTGTTGGCAAAGTGACGTGGTCAGCACAGCTGCCAGAGAGCAGGAGTAGCCAGAGAGTGGTGCACCCAGGAGCACACACAGGAAAGCCCAGGGGAGGCTCCCTGCCCACATCTACTGATCTTTGTTACTAGCACATGTTCTACCCAGAGTTCTGGGCAGTTGCTTGGAAGACTTCTGGAAAAGAAAAATCCCTCTCAGCACCATATGCAGGGCCTGACAGTCAATGAAAGTGCACAAAGACAAGAACCGATGGAGTTCCTGCCCGTCCAAGGAGCTGTGCTCAGCTGGACCTGCCTTCTTCCTCCTTGATCCTACCTCACCCTCTACCTCTTCGCTGTTCACCAGGTATAGGAGAAAGAAAGGCCCGGACAAGCCAAAGGATTCTGATGAACTCGTGTGCTGAATACTTCAAGATGGAACATACTGCAACAACTAATTTATACATTTTCATTTTTATTTTATTTATTTATTTGTTATTTAGTACAGGGTCTACTGTGTCTCACTACACAGATCGGACTCGTAGTGATCCTCCTGGTTTCAGCTTCCCAAGTGCTGGGATTATAGGTGCTTGCCACCACGTCCAGTCTCAACTGCCCTTTCAGTGTGCCCCAGGGGTGGGGCCAGCAGGGCACTCCAGAGATCAAACCCAGGTCCCTGCTATACACTTTTCTTTTCCTGGTATAAATTTAATTATTTCCATATGTCTCCTTCTCAGTATTTACACCACATGGGGACACCCTCCAACTAGAGGTGATTTCAAGTGTGTTTCAAATATACCTTTTCATACCCCAGCTATGTCAGAGGTATTTAAGAATGCTTTCTAATAATGCAATATGTATTCAATCACTCCAGAAATATTTCCTCAGTCCCTTGTAGGGTCCAAGGCACTGTGTTAGGCACTAGAGAAACAACTATAGAAGCATGAGACCATTCATTCCTATGGAGCTTCAATCATAAAGCACTGAATTCCCAATTCAGCCAATCAATGTGTGGGAAATCCAGTGGTCAGAAGCATAAAGAAATGTGAGGGCTGGAGAAGGTTTGGTCCTTCTCCTTGAATTTCAAGACCTGCAGCACAAAGCAAACAAAAGTATTTGCATTTCAAGGGTACCAATAGCAGCTATGCAAGGGTCAGAGTTAATAGGATAAAGAGAGGAAAGAGAATGTTAGGACTTGTATTTCCTCGGATGTGAACACCTGTTTATTCCCGCCCCCCAAACAAATCCATACATTTTTAAACTAAACTTATTAATCCTAAAAGAGAAATGCTGCCAGAAATTATGAGTTAAGTTATTAACATACAGAAAGAGTGCTCTGCATAACACAGTTCAAGGTTTTGGGGTCCGTGCATCAGTTCTGATGTGGAATCTTCTATAACCTGGGAAGTCTCTTATCTCAAGGCTCTGACCCAGCCGACAATGTACAGCCTGGCTCTCCCTCCCACATGCCTCTGGGAGCCACAGGCTCCCACTTATTAATCACAGTTAATAACTTAACTCATAATTTAACATTACCTTAATCAGCTAACCAAAAAATAAAAATCTTCCCAGAATAACTGGGTGGGGTTGGAGTTTAGTCCAAAGAAAGCCAACAAGAACAAGCCTAACACTTTCCTGCTGTTTCTAGGCATGTAATACATGTATCACTGGGGTCCACAAGTTAATTCTTTTCAGTTCAGTTCAGTTTTACATAAGGAGAAAGAAGCTACAAGAATAGGTCTAATGGTATTTGGGGAACCACTGACACAGAAGTTAATCCAGCAGTCATAGCCAGCTTTGGAAGAATGATTTCTGCAAACTTTCAGAGCATGAGGGGTGCAGATGACAAAACGACATGAGAAGTTGGCCATAGACTTACCCACACATGTTGGAAATATTTCCTCATTATTGATCTGGACTTCAATCCAATCCATGAGAAGGTTCATGTACTGGGGAGCTGGCAGTGCTGTCGGTTTCTTATACTTGAGGTCATCCTGCCAGCGATATTCGTACTTGGGGCCCCCTGACATCACAGGGCAGGTCCGCTCAGTGCAGAACTCACAGATGGTGCCATAGATGAGGTTGATCCGATTGAAGAAGTCCACCACGTGCACTGCCACCCAGTCATTCTGGTCCTCCCCGCTGGGCAGCTGTACGGCAGCCTTCAGGTCCACGCCTGAGTTGAGGGAAGCTTGAGCCCGTTTGTGCAGCTCAAACCTCTGTGTGCCAGGTTCAGATTTCCTCTTGGGCCGAAAGGTCTTGTCCTTGTTGAACACCTGTTTCAGGGCTATGGACATGGTCTTCTCCCTCTTCTCCTTTCTTTTGCAGGAAGCAAAAAGGCACTTAGAACTTTTCAGTGAGAGATCACAGTTCAGTAGGGTTTTCCACTGCCAGCGCTCAGGCCCCAGGCTCGTGACCTGCAGTTTTCACTCTCTCTTAAACAGGCCCATCCACCTTCCTCCTGAATGACTTCCAAGGGAACTTCATGTTCCTCCCTACAGACAGAGGAGAAAAGGGAACTTGTGAATGTACAGTTTACACTTAAGAAGCAATAAAGTTCAGACCTGCTTTCTACCTTGCATTCCTGGCTTGTCCCCTCCATCCAGGTTCGTGAATGTGGAGGTTCAGCCCTTGCCCTGTGACTCTGCACCAATGATGTGAGCCACCAGAGTGTCTAAAGAAGAACAGGCATAATACCACTCTTTGTCAAATCCCTGCTGGCTCTTCTCTGTGTGATAGTAAAACAGTGGCCCTCTCCAAGGTGGTAAGCATAGAGATATTGGTCAGTGACTCAATCCCATCCCACACACTACACATGCTCTTTTTTAGAGCCTCCCTGTTTCCCCTACTGGGTAAGCCCAGAGCCACTTCCCCTGTTTTCCCAGGGAGCAGGGGTGGCAATTACCCCAAGCCAGTTAGTAAGAATATCTCTTCTGCGAATTCGGAAGGTGGGGCCAGGTTTTGCTGGACGTGATCCAACAGAGGTAACTGGCTGAACCCCGACTGTATGGACCTTGTCATGCAACTGAGAATGTCGGTCTGCAGAGCTGAAAAGGGCAGGCAGGGAGGAGAAAGGTGAGGAAGGGAGGCAGCTGCCTTAGGAGCTCCTGACACACAGAAACAGAGAAGATACCAAGTGGCCTTAAAAGAACACAGGATAAAGTGGGTCAAACAATGAGAAGGGACAATTGGCTCCTTTAGTTCCAAAGACTGTCCAGGAAGCAGTTCCAATTCCTGAGCTGAAGCTGTGTTTCCTACCTTCTGGGTCCATTTGCTTTTCCTGAATTAGTCAAGCCCTTCATTTTACTTAAGCTAAGTTGACTGTCTTCTGTGTCTACTCAGAATCTCTAACTATATAACAACATATATCACCTCTACACCATGCTATCATTGGGCCCTTGATACAATTCTGTAAATAGGACTTTGAAACAGGGCTGTCCAGTGGGACGTCATGTGATAATGCAAAATGTTCTACATATCTGTGCAGTATGGCAGCCACGAGCTATACGCTCCTGCTAAGCATGTGGCAGGTAGATGGTGTCACTAAGGAACTGGATTTCACTTAGTCAAACCTTTCCTGAAGGGTCTGACTAATTCAGGAAAAGCAAATGGACCCAGAAGGTAGGAAACACAGCTTAGCTTCAGCTCAGGAATTGGAACTGCTTCCTGGACAGTCTTTGGAACTAAAGGAGCCAATTGTCCCTTCTCATTGTTTGTCCCACTTTATCCTGTGCCCTTCTTGAGGCCACTTGGTATCTTCTCTGTTTCTGTGTGTCAGGAGCTCCTAAGGCAGCTGCCTCCCTTCCTCGCCTTTCTCCTCCCTGCCTGCCCTTTTCAGCTCTGCAGACTGATTATTTAAATGAATTATTTATTCATTTAAATAATTACACATGGCCAGCAGCTACCACATTGGAGAGTAAAGCTTCAAAATCTTTGGTGTTCTCCATTATTTTGTTTAAAACTCACAAAAATCTAGCAATGTTATAGTTTAATAGTAGATGTAACAGAGTGACACAAGGCATCCCTCTCATTGGATCTCCAGGAGATAAAATGGCTTGCCTAACGAGGACCTGTAGCTAGCAGTAGGCACAACACAGACTGAAATAGACTTTGTAGATCCCTAGTAAATGCTCATTTCACATTGTCTTATGTATATTTTTTAAATGAAGCCTTTCCATCTGTTTTTCCTGCTGTCTTTCATGAAGTTCCCTTTATACAAAGCTGTATGCCTCTCACCTTTTATACCTATATCCTGCCAAAAACTGCCGGGGACAGAAGGTTAAGGCCATAGGCTGTGGGCTTGACACAGAGAAGAGACAGCTGGCCCACTCACAGGTCAAACTCCTAACTATGAGGGAAACAGCTGAGGTCAGATCCAGAAAAGCTCTCCATGGAACCTACTAGAAGGATTCAGAGCACAGCCCCGCAAACTGCTTTCATCCCACCTGGCAAGAGGTCTGCCATTCCATCCTCAAACAGAGCTTTGGGACACATTTGCTCTTAAATCATTAAAGCAGAAAGATAGTCCTAAGATATCTCAGTTCTTAGCTACAGACCCTGCCCTTTGTTCAGAGCTGCTGACCATGCCATCAAGTGCCTCTTCTCCTCTTTCCCTGACTGTTCGACTCCTCCTTCTCCACCCCATCTCTTCCTAACAGGCTTCCTCTGAAATGCCTTATCTAGGTGATGGTTCTTTATCCTCCCACTCACATGGCATTGAGCACGTATCTCCTCCCCCACAGACAGGTGGACAAGCAGGTCACATGACACCCTGCATGAGACTATGAGACCACACACCAGGTACTCTGAAATATCACCTGCAAGGAGGATCACTACAAGTCTGAGCTGCATAGCAAGTCCCTGTACCAAATAAATACAAGGTAAAAATTAAAAAATACAATCTCTGCAAACCTGAGGGAAAGAATCCCCCATACCTTTCCAAAGGCCAAGTCTGCCTGAAGTGTCTTAAGAAAACTGAAGGCTTCAAATGGCATTTCTAAAATAAAAGTATGAGCTAGAGATTGTGATGCTAGAGAAAGAATATCTATCTATTCTCAAGACAGAGGACAGTCCTTCTAAGTTGCCAAATGCTTTAATTGCCAGCACTAAAGCAGCAAGGGCCCAGCAGTGCCGCCCTGTGCCCTGAGCAAAGACGACTTGTTACTCTGATAATGAGGTTATCATCAATTCCCAGGATCCGCAGAGCAGTCTTCTGTCCCTACCTTACATGACTGTAGTTACCATTGATTCTGCTGCTTCCCTGTGGACCGGAGTGTCCACTTGCATGGACACCTCACCTGGGCCAGGCTTTCAAAAGCAGATCTGCCTGGCACTGTAGGCGGCAATGTGTGAGTGACACAGAATAACCACAGCAAACTCTCCGAATCCTACAGGATTGGTACTCAGAAATCTAAAGAAATAATAGAACCTTGTTTGCAATTCATGGACTTTTCATCCAGAGATACTGAAAGTAATAAACTTCAAGGCATTAGTCTCTTGGACTGGATGAGGATTTACCAAAAACCTTAATCTGTGTTAACATTACCCTTTCCTGTTGCTCCTGTTGAGCCGGTTCCCCAAGGAAGAAAGCATCTTTGGAGGCCTGAGTCCTTTAATCTGCTGCTCTTGGTCACCACTTATTAGACTCCAAGAAGTACTAGACTCTATAGTCACATAGCCAATGGTTCTGTTCCTCACCCCTCATTGTATGACAGAAGTTATGACCATTTTATATAAAAGAAATCAAGGTTCAACTAGGTGAAATAATTTGCCAGAAATCAGGTAGCAGACGGTGAAGACTAAATCTTTAACCCTTATTTCTCTGCCACTACAACACACATGATGTTTCTCAATAAAGCTGTTTTTATTTTTTTTCCTTGTCTAAACATTTTTTTCATAATTTTATTGATAAACAGATAGCAATGAGACAGTTTCAAATCAAATCGGTAGGACAGTTTCAATAACTAACACACTGCATATATTCTTCTTAGTGGTTAATTGCTGTACAAGATGCGGACTTGAGATCCTATTTACAAACACCATTAGAACAAATCATTCTATTCATTAAGAGAATGCAACTATACATCTATCCTAACCACTTTGAATACACAGATACAAAATGGACATTCATCTGTATCCCCTTTTTTTCTAAGTTCCGTTATTTGAATATTATAGGTGTATAAACTCAGCAAAATATTCTAAAAGAGTCCAGTAGCCCATAATAGCATTGGGACTTCTGTTTAACTGGCAATGTCAGAAATTGTTGACCTGAGTCCCCCACAGCTCAACATAACAGCATGGCTTTACTTCCTATATTTCGTCTTCATACTTTTCTACTGGATGGTTAAGACCAAGGTAAAGCAGGACCTGTGCAACAAGAGTCGTAGCTCATAAAGCTGTTTTTAAATCCTGTAAGTGTCTTCTAATGTTTTTAAAGGTCTTACACATCTGTGTCTCCAACTCCTCACTACAACACTCAAAGGGAAACCAGCAGAGGTGGTCTGTCATCTCCACTCTACAGGCAAGCAAGCAGAGTCCTGATTTCCTAGCATTTGATACAAACTGCTAATCATTCTGCCAAGGCGGGACATGGGGAAGTCTCTTCTGGTGAAACTTTTTCTTTCTTAAGCTACCATGGAGTTCTCTTGAAAAGGCCACTGCTTGGTCACGCGGACCCCTGTGGTTAAAGACAACAACAATCCAGAGAGTAAGAACAGGTATATCATGTCACTAAATGAACAAAGAGGCCTCCATCTTTGAAGAGTGTCAGGTGCTTTATTGGCACAGAGACTTAAAAGAAGTTTGAAATGAAGAGAGGAACAATAAACCTACCTGGTCCTACTTTCTAACCCCTACTACCGCAGTGACTCCTGCCCATAATTTATTTTGCCAGCTAATTAAGCAGCAGAGTGGTGCTTATCACATGTTAATAAGGGGCTCTTGTTTAAAATGAAGGATTTGATTCACTGGGTTTGGGATGACAGCTAAAAGTTTGCCTTTCTTTCTTTCTTTCTTTTTTTTCTTTTTTTTTTTTTTTTTTTTTTTGTATTTTAGGAAAGGGTGTACACGGTGTACAAGGTCTCACTGGGTAGATCAGACTCGTAATGATCCTCCTGTTTACAGCCTCCCAAAAGCTGGGATTACAGGTACACGCCCCCACACCCAGTCTCAATCGCGGTCTCAGCGTGCCCTGGGGGTGGGGCTGGCACCGCAGGCCCAGACATGAGCCCCCGGCCCCTGCACCCACTTGCAGGCACTTTAATCGGCTGAGTTATTGGGCCGGCCCTAAAAGTCTGCATTAAAAACAAGCTCCTGGTGATGCTAAATCTACTAGTCCACAGATTCATGTCAAGGCCTCATCTACGTTTTGAAATGCAGGCTTTCAGGCTTCATTGCAGGCCTCCTAGAATAGATCTAAATCTGCACTTTAACAAATCTCAGAAGTGTATGCTTTGAGAAACCCTGGACTGGAGGGATGGCTGCCTGGCTGAGTGAA